TAGTCAGGAGGCCTTCTTTAGAAAAATTAGAAGTGCTCCTTGTTGCAAAACAATGGGCTATATAAGGGGAGGGGGAACACATTGGTTTCTTGCATCTTAGCGTAGCGAAATGAAATTTCCCATAAATGGGTGCCACTTTTGGAAAATTGGCCTTTAATTTCCACTGGGGAATTGGCTTTATTTCCTTGGATGCTTCAAAGATACCCTTGGGGTTTGCTTTTCTTTCTCATAGCTGCTGCTAGTACTTCTATTAAGCAAATAAATAAGTCTCCCCTTCCTGCCCACTTCACTGGTTTGTACCTTGCCTCATATTTTCCATGGCTTTCACGCAAACAACCAGACTGGGTAAGAAAAAAGCCCCTCTCCATATGGTAGCTGGAGCTTAAATCAGTTAATGATTGAAAGAGCCCGTCAGAAAGGAGATATGTAGGAAAATGAGATCTTCAGCCTCTGGGGCAAACGGATTTTTACTTCTGCTGAAGTTGAAGATGTATTGGGTTACACCTTGGGTGTTTTCACTAGGTGCAGACTTATTTCTCTGGTCCTCCTTAGGAGGAGTTTTGACTCTAGCGGTCTCATTCTTTGTAAGTGGGGGAGGATTATTGCAGCAGGAGTGGTGAAATTGGAGACAATGAGCAACGTTACTGATATTTTTAAAATTTATGTAGAAACACTTGAAAAGCTTTATGATGAGCGTAGATGAGAGAGATGGAAGTTTCTTCCTGAAGCACCCAGTGGACTTCAATATTCAATTACACCCAGGAAACCGCCTGTTTTTTCTTTGTTTAGCCAGTGTAATTCATTATGATCATCATTTCTGGTTTCCTACAGAAATGCGTTTCTCTTTGCGACTGAGATGTGCTGCCTCCCGCAAGACAGGGCGTGAACCCCAGCACATCCCCAGGAGGTACGGAGGGAAGCATCCCCGGTGGGCAGCGGAGGGGTCTGCCGCCGGCGGGGGTGGGAGGCATGCGGAGGGGCTGCCTTCCCCTCCCAGACATTCCTAAAGCCGGGGACTGTGAGGTGTGAGAAGCCACGGAGGCCGAGGGGAAGAGGACTGCATGTTTAGTGCAGAGGGAGATAAGATAAACTGATATTTCTCTGGTATTACTGCAGCTTTCCACGCGCAGCCCACAAGATCCTGTGAGGTTGTAGGGGTCCTCTTGCAACTAATACAGTAATGACCTTGAATTCGCTTCCAGCTCAGCTGTACTGCTGGAGGACAAGGCTTTTCTTGTGAGCAAAAAACATTAAAGCAGCACAGATTTGCCTGCGCAGCCGGTCTTCAAGAGATTTGAGTATCTTTTCTGAGGCCCTGCTTGCAACGAGGGATTGTAGATAAGCTTCTGCAGTAGTTAATGTGTAAAGTTTTCGGATTTATTCTCACTGGTGCCTCTCCTTTTGCTAGTAGTGTTGACAAAGACACTGCCGTGTGCTGATTTTTTTGTTTTACATAGATAATTTTTTGCTGCATGAGAAAGGCAATAATGTGCATGCTCGTATGTGCATGCTGGCCAAGGCAAGTGTGCTCTTATGGCCTTGTGTGTGTTAGAGGGGAAAAAAAATAAACTGCTTTAATTTAAAAACAATTAATAATGAAACTCATTCATTTTTCAGAATATCTGAAAAATAACCTGAATAGCAAATTTAGGAGTCCAGATTAATTCTTTATGCTGAGGCAGTCTGCTGCACTAAGCACATACGATCACAGTTTGAAATTTTCCTAGTCTCACACCTGAATTAAGATTAAACCCTTTCTATTTCTTATCACATTCTGGTTATAAGATACAACAAAAGTTGGAAAAAAAAATTAGAAAAACATGAGATTTTGTCATGGATTATGTTTAAACTGTGACTTGTTACATGACTCAGTGGAAAATATTAGTGACCTCTTCCTTTATAGGTTTGACTTCCTGCAGGCTTGTCTGTTAAAAAGATTCTGCAAGATGCTTCCTTTGTGGATCCTGTGAGAAATGTATATTCAGCAGGAGAAACATCTGAGTGAGCAAAGACTAACTTACACAGTGGTTTGGAAGCCACGTGTTGAAAAGTGCTGGGGAGACACAGCAGGGAAAATGATAAAAAGGGATGAAAGCAGTTCAGACGGGCGAAGAATGCTGATTTAAAAATGCAAACCATCTGAACACTGATGAGTGGGCAGGTTGCAATAACTTCAGGGCAGACCTGAGTTGCACCGCAGTCATGTACTGTAAGTTGACTCCCACAGGACATGGCCTGCAGTGATTCAGAACTGGAAGGGGGGGACGGGGGGAAGTTTCGAGGTGCTGCAGAGAGCAATCTTACAGCAGCAGAGTGCCAGTAGGAAATGGGTCAGTTGGAGTAATAGCTTTTTTCCACGTGGTTTGTGTGAGCCAAGCCAAATGTGTGTGGAGCACAGGGTTATCGCACTCGTGATCTTTTTTTTTTTTTTTTTTCCCCCCCAATGTATTAGAAATGAATGTGTCTGCAGTGAAATTCAGTCATCCAAGTGTGGCATTATGAATCCTCTCTCTGTTTGGACACTGCCTTGAGTCCCAAAGTCAGCTTGCTTTTTTAATGTTGTAGGCTTTGTCTAGATCGTTAAAATGGGCTGAGTTTGGAAATGTAATGCTGTGGCCTCGCATTCCCAGGAGGTCAGCAGAAATGCTAGCCTGAAGTATCCCTGCTAATACCACCTGCGGTTTGTTCTCGCCTCTGCATTGTGGTAGGCAATCTCCTCATTTGTGCTGAAACAACTGGATGTGTGACCACACCGAGGTGGATAAAAAGGGGCTGACCCAGTTAAAAAACAAAACAAAACAAAATTAAAAAAACCCCTCTAACATATATTTCTCCACCCTAAGCCCCTGCTGTATCGGTTTACTGGTCCAGTTTGTAATATGGCAGCCCCATACACGGGGGTGTTGGCAGCAGCGAAGGCACGGGGCAGGAATGAGGGACAGAGTGGAGAATGCCTTACGCCAGTGTTACTGCTGGTTTCTTTTCGATGTGAAAGCACAGCCTTAGTTACAGCTTTGGCCTAAACTTTGCACTCAGCTTTGATGTACTTTAGCAGCTTGCAGAAAGGTGATAGTGAATGGTGACTGTGGTTTTGGTCCCTCCTGATCATCAGGTGTAAGCAGGCAGGGTGTTATCAGAGGTGTGTAAGCTGTGCGTGCTGTTTGGACGCGGTGTGATGAGATGGTGGCTCCTGAGGCACAGGCTGTTAATGAAATGCAAGCCTGCCCCCCTCCCATCCCCTGTTTCTGAATCCCAGCTGGCTGGTACAAGTGGCTCTTAAGTCCCACCATTAAGCGGTCATTGAAACAAACGGGGTTAGAAAGAAAACTCCAGAAGGGGCTTATTTTTAATCCAGATCAGGTAAGTGATCTGTCACTAAGTAGTACACTGAATTACACTGCAGTGTAGCAGCTGAGGCTGACGATGACTATGGTGCTGGGAGGTGAACAATAAGGCTTATGATAGGGGAGGGTCAGACTTCCTTCAGTCAGCTTTGCCGCCGATGCCCACTGCACTTGATTAAGCAAGTGAGTTCATGTAAGGGCATAGTGTGCGTGACAGTCCGGCAATGTGTTAGTGTATTTTACTTGGAACACAGCCTCCTCAGTCAGACTTTATTTCATTTTGGACCGTGCATCCCTCCACTAATGCAGAAGCTGTCCAAAATGCCCAGGTATTAGTTGAGCACAGATTTCCAAGTCTAGGTCTGACATTCCCTACCCACCCCCTTTATGTAAATCTCTTATCATTGTCCTAAAGTAATGTATTTAGTTAGCTGTGCTATCCATCCCCATTTTTGGAAAATGCAACCCCCTCATGCCTTGATGTGCAGAATTCCTTCATGCCACTTCAGCATGCATGCAGCATCCATAGCAGAGGCACAACAGTTGCTCTTACTCGGGTCTGATCCTGGGCAACAAATATAGAATCACAGAATGGTTTGGGTTGGAAGGGACCTTAAAGACCATCTGGTTCCAACCCCCCTGCCCCAGGCAGGGACACCTTCCCCCAGCCCAGGGGGCTCCCAGCCCCATCCAACCTGGCCTTGAACACTTTCAGGGAGGGGGCAGCCGCAGTCTTTCTGGGCAACTTGTTCCAGTATCTCACTGCCCTCACAGTAAAGAATTTCTTCCTTATATCTAATCTAAATCTACCCTCTTTCAGTTTAAAACTGTTACCCCTCATCCTATCCCTATACTCCCTGATAAAGAGTCCCTCCCCATCATTCCTGTCCCCCCTTTAAGCCCTGGGAGGCCGCTATAAGGTCTCCCCGGAGCCTTCTCTTCTCCACGCTGAACAACCCCAACTCTCTCAGCCTGGCCTCATAGAGGAGATGCTCCAGCCCCCTGACCATCCTTGTGCCCCTCCTCAGGACTCATTCCAGCGGGTCCAGTGATGTAGCCCACTGATGCTGTGCCAGTTCATACCAGCTGAGGAAAAAGAAGGGTTCCCCTCCAACCCACTGGTGTGATGCTCTCCCCGACTCCCCCTTGATGATATCCACAGGGCACCATCCTTTCCAGGCTGTGGGCAGAGGAGGGCTGTCTAGCTGAGAGCTTGTGCTCCTTGTCTGGTCCCTTTGGGGACAGGCTTGCTCACGGTCCCACGGCGTAAGGACTTTCAGTGTCAGAAGAGAAGGCAGCTAATATTGTCCTTGCTGCACATACAGCCAGGCATGGGTTTTGCTTTTGCTCTCTTAATGCTACGCTCGGTATAGCAGAAGCAGGCAGGCACATGATCTCCCTGAAGGCAGGATCCAGTGTTACTGTAGAAACTGGCCACCAGCTTCTTTTGTAGCTAGCAGCTGTCACTGTGTGGTTACAGCCAAAGCGTGTCACTCCTACAGTGTCTGCAGGCTCTCGAGTTTGTTTCTGCTTCTGAATCCTCCGTGCTACAGCTTGGAGATTAATTCTGCACCTTCTTTCAAAGCATGTTAAGATATTTCTGAATTGTATCTATTTTTAGGACCATTCTTGATTAATATTTGATGTTCTTTCCAGGTTTCATTTTCCTTCACCAATACTTCAAGGCACAGAGGAGCTGGTAAAGGCATTGCCATGAAACCTAACTTGAAGCAATGGAAACAACTCATGCTGTTTGGGATCTTTGCATGGGGTCTGCTTTTTCTGGTGATATTCATCTATTTTACAGATAGCAACACTGCTGAACCAGTTCCAAGTTCCTTTTCTTACATTGAAACTAAGAGGCTTCTACCCCTTCAAGGCAAACAGAGAGTCATCATGGGAGCTATTCATGATCCATCGTTCTCTGAAACCATCGATGGGAATGAGGTACTTCTTAATGAAGATCTCTTAGGTACGTTTAAATCAAGGACTGGAAGCATTAAGAAATGGACTGATTTGGAAGATGCTTTTAGAAATGAAGATGAGTTTTTTCCGTCTCAGATAGGAAGAAAATCAAAAAGTGCTTTCTACCAAGTGAATGACGATTATTTATTTGCTGCTGGTCAGCCTTGGTCACACAACCACCTTCCAGAGATAGCAAAATTCATCTCGGCCAATGAGGACAATCCAAAAGTAAATATTTTACAGAACAACTGGAGCCATCAGAGAAGAATGAGGAGAAGGAGCACAAAGCACAGGAGAAGCCAGATGCTTGATGAATCTGATGACTGGGATGGGCTATATTCCACAATGTCGAAATCCTTTCTTTATAAGCTTTGGAAAGGGGATGTCTCTTCCAAGATGCTAAACCCTCGACTGCAGAAGGCGATGAAAGATTATTTGAGTACCAATAAGCATGGGGTGCGGTTCAAGGGGAAGCGAAACTCCAAGTTGACAGGAGACCAGCTATTCTGTGAGCTAAAAGAAAGGGTGAATGTGAAAACAATAGATGGCAAGGAGGCTCCCTTCTCCACTCTTGGATGGGAAAAGCACGTTCCCCAAATTCCACTGGGTAAATTGTATACACATGGCTTTGGGAGCTGTGCCGTAGTTATGTCTGCTGGTGCAATACTGAACTCCTCTCTCGGGGATGAAATAGGTGGGTGAAATGTGTCTGTTCATGTGCATATATATGTACATGTGTGTGTTCATGTTTGTCTTTCTAAAGGTATATTCTTAAGCATAGATCTGGTTGTTATCTCTCAACAGCATTACATGAATGTGAGCTCATGGACCTCAGTGAAGCTATTCCCTTACAGGACAATGTAACTGAAAGGAAAATCAGGCCTGAAGTCATATTTTGATTTAAATAAAACAACAATTCCTTCTTATCATATTACAGTTTATAGTGTAAAGGAGGCACTGGTTTCATCAGGTCTGCCACATTTGAGATTTTGCTGCAACATGAGTTTATTCAACAGATTAGAGCCATGTTCCGGTTTTACTCTGCCAAGCTGTGTTGTGCCTGTCTGTGTTTTGTGATGGCTCATAGAGAAACTGCTTATTGTACTGCTATCCCAGACTGAACTTTGCCTCCGTGACAGGAAGCAGTAGAGCATCCTCTTCATCTCTTGCTTGTTTAGAGTTCACAGACATACAGAATTCAGACCCTTGGGTAGCTTCATGCGCTGAGGTCAAGTCCCCTGACCTCTTTGTCAAGAGTAAATTTAAATGAGTTCAAGTGTCTCCACCCATTGTTTTTCCATTGTTGCACTGAGTCAGTGAGGTTACAGGTGTGCTGAGATGTCAAGGTCACACAGAATTCCCCATTGCAGGGTGGGAGTTTTGTGGTAGCTATTCAGAAATGCATTGTGGAACCATTAAACTAATCCAGGTCATTTTTATTTTTTTGTTTCAAAAATGAGTGCTCCTACTCATGTTATTGTCTCAGTAGTTCTTCATTTTAGTAGTACACATGCAGTATGCTAAGTGTACTGAAAGAAGGATGAAATGTATGTCTCAAACTTGCTTCTGGAGCAAGAAGAGTTACCTTCTTCAGCTCTCTTAAAAACCTTTTGATGTTCACTCATTAATTCTCCCATCTTCCAGGACTTCACATCCCAGTACTTGCTTCGTGGCACTGTATCATCTCTTTGACACAGATGGGTTTTCTATAAATCTGTGATATATTAGAGCTGCTGTCATTATCAAACTACTCTAACAGGCTTCCAGCAGAGCATGGGTGCCCAGCTGGCCTGCAGCTAACCAGGGTAACCCCTGATTTCACAGAAGGCCCACTGATTTAGAAATCTTTGGAGTGCAAGCGCTTAACAGTTTCTCCCTTCTCCAATGCCTTATCCTTGACTGAAACAGTCTTCTGTCAGTGTTCCCCGGTTATACCCAGTTTACACCAGTATGGATTAGTGTGGTGCTGGAGAATCCATAGCACGTTGTGACGTGTTTACATAATTACGTATTGCAGCACGCATCACGACATATTTGCACCCTCACGTGCAGCCTGGGTGTGGACTTCGGTGCCAGACATGGTACCTGGGGCCCGTATGCTCCTGCGTCTACCCATTTTCTCGGGAACACTGGACACAGAAAGCTTATGCTGTTCTTTGAGGAAGAGCTTTTGATTTAATTGGGAAATTGTCATCTGATGCCACCTAAAGGGTGGAGATGCTGATTGGTAAGGCCAACACAGACGTTTCAGATCTCCTCCTAGCTGTTGTACTGGAGAGTGTGTGAGGCAGCACAGCAAGCGTCTTCCAGGCCATGGCCAGGTCCTTGTGACTGAGCTGAGAATTTAGCCCAGAACTGAGGTGGTGGTGGGGGGAGAGGTTGTGCAACAGACTGCTTATAGTCATGCCAGAAGGTCCTGGTGCAGACCTATGGGTCTTAGAGGTCAGTGCAGCTTCTAGGAAGTGCTGATGTACTGGAGACATCGTGCCAGTGTTTCCCGCTTAAAATGGAAGCTCCAGCATCTAGTTGTATTGTTCTTATTCCCATGGGGAAGAAGCTGTACCCTTGCAGAGTCCAGATAGTGTGCGTTACAGCTGAGCTCTTGGCCGTGCCTTTCTGCCTCCGCTGTAGTCCTTGAGAAATTGAGAAGAGTCTGACCAGGGAGAGAAAGATCAGACTGTACGAGGTGCTCTTTTCCCTGTGCACGCACAGCCATAGGAGAAGACAGTCCTTTCCCAGAGCTGGCACCAGGGCTACCAGTTCTTGGTTGAAATTGCAAGCAAACCTGCCAATGAGGAGGCACCATGGGCGGCCGGTGGAGCTGGCCTGGCCCTTGTGCCGAGCACCTCCACGTCCACAGAGGCACGACAAAGTCTGCATCATTAGGGGGTGGGGAAAAACACCCCATGCGTGAGTTCTAGTTTTTGGGCTATAGCCTGTATAGCCTTGGTTGATGAGGTTGCTGCAGGCAAGAGGCTTTTCCTATTTATCCTCCCAAAAGAAAAAAAAGGTGTAAGAAAGCAGCAGCAGAGGATCATTCTCTTCATAGGCCTTGAGCTCCCTCTTCCGTGTTCCTATTAGAAACGCAGGCAGAAATGTTAATTTACGTACTGCCTTTTGCCCTCCTTCCCCTCACCCTTCTGATTGTTTTTGAATGAAACTAGGTATCAAAATACTATGCAAGTACATCAAAACACTCCCGTTGTGATCATGCTGTTTAATGGGAGACTCAGTTATTTTGGCATCATCAGGAGGTGACAGGGATCTGTGATCAAACCCCAAACTTTTGATATCTTCAAACTGTTTATCTCCAAATACTTAATAAAATTAAAATCAGTTGGCTTAAAACCATGTATTACCAGTGTTAAGCTGCATCCTGATCATGTATTTTATGGCGAGGGAAAGGGTTTTGGTCTTGGTACAAAGAACCAGCATGGGTAATGTTGGAAATGCAGCACACTGTCTCTCAGTCAAGTTGTGAACCATACAATTCCCATTTCCTGACCCAATTCCCAGTTCTCAGTCAACAGATTGTCAAAAAGTTGTCAAATGCAGGTCGAAATTTATGTTCATAAATTCATAAGCAGGTTTCAAGTATAAAGGACCTTTGTTTTTTTTTTTTTACTTCTCCAGAAAAGTGGAGTACCTGCAACTTCTATTGACTTCATGTCCTCCAGCTCCTACACAATCAAGATGCTTATGTTTAAGCAGTTGAAGGCTAGGTGTTGAGGCTAGGGTTGTCCCTGCATAGGGACATAGAAAAAGCCTCCACACCTTAGATTCTGAGGAGTTGGACCCAATGGACATGTGGCAAAAATCTCTCTTTTCAGACACATGTTAAAGCAAGCGGGTATGGCTGAGATTGGACTGCTGGTTTCATATCACACAATGGTTTCTTGTCTGGAGTACAAGTGTGGAGCAAAGGTGTGAAAGGATGGAAGATCCCAGTTTGATAGGATCAGGCCTGGACTCCACTGAAGCATGTTGGTTATCTTTGGAAACTTCTGCCTCCTTCATTTTTGAGCTACAGACAACCACATTTTAAATGACCAGAGATAAATAGCTGCATAAACTACCTATGGGTTAAGGCATTACATGCCCATTTTGGCCTGAATCATATTTTCTGCTTCCATCAATAGAAGGGCTAAAAGTAGACCAAACAGGGAGCTATTGACAGGAACAGTGTTTTTCTGGACAATGGATATAATGTCTCACTCTTCCTCACACTTTTGGGGCTTTGAGATCCCCTTAAAAGGAGCACTGGGAAGGTGATTATCTTTTATCTGGCAGAGGTTTGCACATAGTGTTTAGCCTTGACCCATACTTGACCTGTAGCAGCTTTCTTTTCTGCACGACTCCGAGGTCAACAGCTCCTGGGGAAACTTTGACAGTTAGATCTTTGCTACCAAGGGATGCTCAGGTTTCTATGTGTGTGCAGGTTTGTAGGCTGACTTCCCTACAGAGACTCTTTAAGATTTGTACTGACCTTGAGAGTAAGTACACGATACGATTAATAGGTTTGGGGTAGTCTGAGATTTTCAGGTATTACAAAATACTGTGAAGCACAAGCTTATAGTTAAGAGTTGTTATTCATTCACATGTGCAATTAGATATCCTTGCAATTAACATGCTTCTGCAAGGAGTATTTCTTTGTAAATTTTGCAATAGAAATAGCGAGCAATTGTGTATACTGGGTGTACTAATAACCTTCCCACACTAAGCTTATCCAATTAAGAGAAATATTTAAGTATTGCAAGCTAAATTAATAGATGTATCTGAACTTCTTTTCCAGTGGATTTTGATAATGGTAATAATGTATGGCAGATACAAGAGGATTTCTGTTTGCACATAATAGAATGTCTGTCATCCTTAGAATATCAAGATTAGCAGAAATCTGTAAGTTTTATGTTAGTTTAGATCATTTGTTTTATTTTACTGTTCTGTATTACTAAGAAAAATTACCCCCTCATTATGCTCCTAGATTCTCATGATGCTGTTCTACGATTTAATTCTGCTCCAACACGTGGCTATGAAAAAGATGTTGGGAATAAAACAACCATGCGGATCATTAACTCTCAGGTAAGATCTTCCTTTTGTGAATTCAAGTCGATGACACTTGTGTACAATATGACATTAAATTCATAACTTCTAAGAAAGTGTTGGGTAATCTGGAAAACAACTCGTGATTTCATGGTCAGGATGTAGAGCAGGTAAAAATTTTCCCTTACAGGGATGTTCACACTGCTGTCAGCATAGCGTGATTGCAGTAGTTACTTGATATCCTTGTTTCAAAGAATTGGTTTGTAAAGTTTCTCATGTGTCCCACATCTGTAAAGGCTCTGCAGGATGCCAGAGCTGTCAGTACAGAAGACCTTCAGCACACTGCCTCCGGGATCTTCACAAAGCCCAGGCTGTGGGGCTCCCAAAGCTCTTTTCTTGTATTCTCCAGTTTCCCAATTATTTCCTTGCTGGAAGGTGAAAGACATGGGAACTGAGTTGTCTTAATACATAACTTTAGGCAAGTCATCGTTCTTTAAAAATTTGGAGTGAACGAGTAAAAAACTTCAATGCACACTGGATATTGCACGTAAGGTGAGTTTGTTCATCTGAATGGAAACAGAAAATGGGATTTTCTGCGTATGGGTCTCAACAGATAATTGTGCATTAAGCTACAGTGACACCTTATGGTTGCGAGTAGTTTTTCAATTTTGAAAAAACTATTGCCTGAACTCAGGTCTTGGGCAAACCAAGCATCTTTCCTCTTTATGAAATGCAGCCAAAAGGCAGCAACAGAATTACTGTGAAATTTTATGGCATATTGAAATGGTGAGTTTACTTAGTCAACACCAGTAGTATGGTTGGCCACGTAGCATGCCCTATACATACTGATTCTTGCTGAATGAGAGCAAAATTTTCATTTACTGTAATTCTTACAAATTCGGTTTTACTTTTCTTCTTTTGAGTGGCTGCCCATGCAAAGTCTGTCATTGGTGAGTGTGTTCTCTGGGTATGTAAGTTCATGTTCTTTGCCACAGCATAGAGGACAGTTCACTGTCATTCCCTTCACACTCGTTTTGTAGCTCTTTGTGAGGCCACGGGACAGACTAGATCTTTGAAGTGATCTGTGTTAAATATACCCCTTTTCTTTTGCTCAGGGGAAGGAAGCAGAAATACCTTACTCCAGCTTTAGTGCTGAAATCAGTGTAATGGAGAACACTTATCTTCATGTAATTTATTTTACTCATTGTTTTTTTGTCGGGTTTTTTAACTTTTCTTTGACTGTTCTCCATTTTACTGTTACCCAAAATGTCCTGATGCTGACCATGCCTGAACCTCTGTGCTGGGCAAGGAGGAGGGTTTAGAAACTTTATTTAGTTGACTATTCTGAGTAGGCTCCCTGTAGGAGAAGAGAGAAATGCCTCCGGGGACTGACTGATCTGAACTTTGTTAGCTCCCCAGCAAATTCAGAGAGACTAAACAGCTAAATTCGCTGCTCGCAGAAGGCTGGGGTCCTTCTGGCTCCCAGAGCTGCTGCGGTACGCTTCCACTGGAGTGGTGATGGAGGGTCCCATGGTCTTCTCTGCTGTGCTGTACATTGCTTGCTCTCCACAAGGCCTCAAGAAAACACAGGGCATGGCTAAATTTCAAGCCAGCTTCCTCATAAGTGTTCGTATTCCCACCACCTTTCTGTGCCTTCAGAGAAGTCAGAAGCCACCTGTGATGCTTTGGCCATCTGCTGAGAAACTGGCCTTCCCCCCTCCAGGACAGAGATCTGCACAGGCCACTTGATAAAAGTTGCTTTCTCTACCAGTTCTGAAGATGGGTTACCCATACAGGTTTACTGACCCTCATTCCCTGCTTGCTGTTGGAAATTCCTGCGTTCAGTTGATTAAAAGGCTGATGTGGCCCACTTCTTCCCTCATGTTCTCCATTGTGAAAGCCCAAAGAATGTGAAGGAAGCCAGTGCAGCCACACCAGATACTGTTATTCCAGAAGAAACTCATCTCATACATATGAATGCACACTCACTAAGAGCGAAATTTGTGTGGACAACACCTCTAAAGGACTCTTGCTTACTGAAAGGCAAGTAAGAGTTCCTTTGTGTGATAACTGTGGAACTGAGCTTTTAAAAGCTTGACCTCTTGGTCTGTTTACTCTGTACTCTCAAAAAAGGAGTTTACATTCTCAGGCAAAAACTGCTCTGAGAATTGAAGTTGGTGATGCTGATGGCAGCACAACTAATTCTGTTCTTGTTGTAGAAGGCTGATGGAAAGTCATTAAGCTCAAAGTTTATGGTAGGAAGAATATTGCTATGGCAACAGTATTATTTTTCTGAAGAAAAATATGCATAATCAAATATGGCTCATTGGATCCTAAAGGGAAATGAAAATTAGTATGAATTTATTTGTCTGGAATGTTGATTAGTTTAACAGCTGGAGCCAAATTCACACTGTTCCAACCAAAGCTGAAATCATTCAGCTCAATCCTGCCTGAGATTGGATGCACCAGGGATCAGCGAGATCTGGTTAGGCATGGAGGGTCCGGGAAGGGATGAGCCTGCAGGAGTGAAGAGTAAACTTCCAGGTCGGGTGGGAGGATCAGGCAGAGTTCCAGCAGATGCAGGAGGGAGTTATATGAGAGCCGTAGATCAGAGCAATATGACGGTTACTTCAAAAATAGCCCTATCATGTGCCTGTTCCTGGAATTATTCTTTTAGGTATACCAGCTCTTACAGTCATGGACTAATTTGCCTTTTTGGGGTTACTTGAAATGAGACTGTCTTGTTGAAATGAGAAAGCAATGATAAAGGTGGGGCCGGGGGAGTGAGGAAAGACATTATCCTTGGGGGCTGTAGCCCTTCAAAGAAAGCTGCTCTGTGTCTAAGAAGAGGATCCTGCAGGCAGTCTGAAATACCATAGCTTTCATTTTCAAGTTCCAGAATACACAGTAATGTTGATATACAATTATGCAGCATCTCAAGTGGTCCCATCACATCCCTCACAGATGGAGAGTAATTCAGCATACTGCTACTTCAAACTGTCATGAGTGCTGTTTATGGCTAAGCTCTTTTTTATATATTTTTTTAACAAAGCAAGATGCTTAAAATCAACCAGAATTAAAGCAGAACAAACAGCAGCGTGGGGAGGACTGTTCATTTTAGAGAAGGATTTTGCTATTTTTCTGGATCCCACTTGCTTTTAAAGCTGTGCAATTCTTTGCATCTGTGTTTGCAGATTCTCACCAATCCAAACCACCACTTTGTCGACAGTTCCTTGTACAAAGATGTTATCTTGGTAGCCTGGGATCCTGCCCCCTACTCTGCAAATCTGAACGTGGTAAGATGTCTGCTTGGACCTTTCTTCCCAATCAGTCTGAAAGCACTAGAGAAAATAAATGTATTTAGTACTGCAGTCTCCTGGTTCTTACTTGTCACAACGAACCCCAAAGTCTGTCTTTACCTAAGGAGTGGAGAATGCTATTTCTGCGTGAATTGGTCAAAATTGGTTTATTGGTCAAAAGTTTTTTAGTAGCCAGCACTTGTACTGGAATGGACTGCTCTGAGATGCTCAGATAGACGGATGACGGGTGGTTCTTTAGGTGAAAATCTCGCTATTTTCACCTAACAGTGAGTTTCCTGTGTGTTTGCCAAGGAGGGGACGTTGATAGATTTCAGAAGGAGGTTTTATCAGGAAAGGTGAAGAGCTGCATCCATTTCCCCCTCACCTTCCGCTCTGCCTTCCCAGGCAGAATGCAACACCCTCATGAAAATCGCACTCGGCGCCTTCCCCATTTCTCAGGCCTCCTCCCCACCAGTCTCCCCTCTGTGCCCACTCCCCCACAGCCATCTGTGCCCTGCTGTCCACCCCCTCGCTGAGAGCAGCAGACGTCCCTCTGGTTGTCACTGGGAGAGCCTCTGCCTTGGCTGGTACTGCAGCTCCAGCGGACCAGTTGATCTGATGGTTCTTGGCAGGGGGCAGATCGGAGCCGAGCAGGCTGCAAAGTAGAAAGTAAACCTTCATCCGCTGAACTCCCTTAGCAACAGATGCCAGAGGCTGCCTGCCTCCTACGCGGGCTGCCGTCAGCCTGCTTCACGTGCTGCTGCTGCCTCCATCCGGGGCAGGGACGCTTTCAGAGGAAGGTTCACCCTCACACCCACATCTTCTGTCAAGGCTCTTTGAAACTCTTGTTCAACACAGCACTGTGAGGGGGAGATGGGGTTGGCTCATCCCACTGCAGTGAAGTGCTTATCAGGAGTCTCTGCGCGAAGAAGGGAAACAAAATAGCCCAGAGTGAGGTCTGGCTTTCCAGGAGAAGCATCCATCAGTGCAAGCTGCTTTGCTACCTTTGCTTCTGCTCTGAAGAACCCAAATGCTTCTAGTTCACATATTGTACATGTAGTTCAAAACCCATTTGATACTATAAGATTTAAAAAATTCTTACTTTTTTTTCCTACCAGTGGTATAAGAAGCCGGACTACAATCTGTTCACTCCTTATGTACAGCACCGCAGGAAGAATCCAAACCAGCCGTTTTACATTCTCCATCCAAAGTTTATATGGCAGCTCTGGGACATCATTCAGGAGAACACTAAAGAGAAGATACAGCCCAACCCTCCTTCTTCAGGTTTTATAGGTAGGTGTATCACAGGTGGGCCCAGTAGACATGTTAGATTAAAAAAAAAAAAAAAAATTTAAATTGTAGATGTGTACGTTGCATGAGGATCAAGTCCTTACACGTGTATTGTTTGTTCTTGGTGCTCTATACGGAAACAATGACTAGCTAAAACACACAGTATGAGAACTAGAAAGTAGTTGGGTAAACTTAATGTTCTGCTTTCTTGCCCTTCACATCCACAGTATACATACCGTATTTATAAAACATACATATATCTGTGAGAAATTTGTATTATTCTGTATTAATTTATCTGTTGAGAACCTACTCAGTTCTGAAGTTCTTTGTTGGAATCATAGAGCAGAGATGCACCACACAACTAGTGAAAGTATATGGCAGATCATACAGAGAGGTTGAAATCACTGACAGGCCGAGCTGTATTCCCTGCACAGGCCAGGGAATGGGATTTCCCATGCCCTGTCACGGCTTCCAGTGCTCAGTCTGAACATGCCCAAAGCGTCCCTCTTCTTCTTACACTTGAAGGAACAGAGCTTAACTGTATTTTTTTGTCCTTCCTCAGTATTTCGTGGGGGGAATAATTTGCCGTGATGCCCACAGTCCATACAGCATAACAATGTACCTGATACATAGCAGGTCCTGATCGTGAAAGTCTGAAGGATGCAGGTAGTCAGGGTAGCAAGGCTGAGTCAGGGTCTTCCTTGCTCATGTTTCTGGAGACACAGAGGGCAGAAGAGCTCCAAATACTGTCTCCAGCTTTGGAAACTCCATCCTTTCCTCCTCAATATTGTGATATTGGTCTATGTATTTGTTGCAGTCAGAAGATGCTCTTTTTATTCTATCTGAATCTGAAAGCAAAGATAACTGAGATTGCATCTGATGTGGGAAAACCAGTTCTGAGCACTTATCTTGGGCTCTGTATATAGTAGTGGCATCTTGGGATATTGTGGAGCCCACCAAAAACCTTAGGAGGGTGCTGAAGGTCTCAGAGGGATGACATAAAGGTGTCTGGGAGACGCCCATTTGTGACCTGAGTGGGTTGTGCTTACCTGGAGCATGAGTGGGAAGAAGAGGAGGCCTTGTGGAGGATGGCTTGGCTGCGGGTTACTTTGTGAAGTGAGATTTTTGGAACCTGCTTGTAAAAATTCCTAAGGGGAAGACTGCTCACGTGGAATGATCTCACCATCTGCATTCACATTTTGAAAAAGCATTTCTTGGAGTAACAAAGTTGTTGATAAAAATAGGTTAACAGCTGCTGATCTTAAAAACAGTGAAGAGGATCATTGTGCTGTCAATCTGTACTTCCACCATATATAAGAAATATTTCAAAAGCTTTCTTTGAAGAAATGGCGTTAATTTCACTATAAGAATAGAATCGTAATCTTCAACCCCAAATCTGAATGTTCCTGACAAAAAAATATCCTTCAAGCAGAGAAAACTTTTAAAATATCGATCATTAAACAAGCAAAAGCATTAACAACAAAAGCTGTACAGATAAATACACTCTGTGTTTACAGATGCAAATCTGCTGCCTTCTCTAATGGGAATTTTATTTATATTGTTCTTTTCCAAAGGATACTCTTAGACATTTTGGTAATGCTATTATTAGCTTTAAGAAGACGAGGCAGTAAAACAAGCTTATTGGGAGTCATAACCACTTCATTTGATAACTAGCTACTGTTCTGATAGATGCACTTTAAATATTTTATTAGAGAGAGGCTTCCTATTTTAGTAATCTTGTTGAATGGATGTCTGTGCATTCCATGTGTAACATAATATAAACTGGGAGACAGCGCAGAAACAGCAGCTGTGTATTGTCAAAGGTGGACATAAAGGACAAGATAAAGCATAAAAATTACAATGCAGGTTGGCAGAAATCTGAAAAGACTTGTTGGTCTTCAGATCAGGTATCTCTCAACAATTCATGCAGCAAATAAGCTAGTTGGAACTGAAGCTGGCAGACACAACTGAGTGCACCTGTATGAAAGGCATATCCTGAATATTGAGCTTCTACCTGATTCTTATAAAATCTATAAAATTGTTTCCTATAGAATTAATAGAAAGAATGGGTAAGTGAATGCCATCATAAAATACGAGTGTCTTAATTTCAAGAAGATACGGGAAAATGGTTTATTAAATGGCTGCATGGCTAGTACCATTGTACTCAGAACAGTGATATAAAGGAAGACAGGCTGTTGTTAAATAGAGGGTATGAATTTTTACAGGCAGAGGGATGTGTATCCCTGAATCTAAGCTCTTTATAGCATGGACCATAATGATTCTAGTCACTTTATTAGAGTAACTTATTGTAAGTCTCTGTGCAATGCTGTGCAGTTAGAACAAATACAGACCCTGCACAAGGATCTGGTTTGTCCATATTTACACCAGCAGAGAGCCAGGCAGCCAGCCCTCTGCGAGCTGTGGTTACTTGTGGTGGAAGAGCAGCAGTTCCTCACATCACTGTTGCTGCCAGCAACATGGAAAACGTAAAAAAAACCAAACCAAACCAAAACAAAAACAAAAACCCAAAAAAAAACACACAACAAACAAACAAAAACCCAAACAAACAAACAAATAAACATTCTGGATCGAGTGAAGAACTTTTTTTTCAAGCTTTTTTAAACCCTCTTTAGCACCAGTTTACAAAATTGGACAAACGTATAAATTAAAACACGGAAACATTAGACTGTTTCATTTCACGAATGCTTTAGGGTGGTCTTAAACTGTTTATTCAGTAATTACGTTTTTCATCTGATAATTGTATCTATTTCTGCCAATTTGTAAGAAACTGAGTCTTCCCAAAGAGGGGATGCTTGGTGGAATGTGTTCTCATGGTGTTCTTCTGCAGCAGTGAGTCACCATCCTTCCGCAGTGATTGATGTCAGGGAATCTTTTAACATTGTTAATAGCTGTATTAATAGTAAATGTAATTGTAAATGTAATTAATAGTATTATTAAGTCTCTTGGAAAAGTGGCCAGTGGGTCATTTGTGGGGAAGAGGTGGTCTCTTCCATGCTGTGACTTCAGGGGAATGAGAGAGTGAGAAGAGGTAAGATCTGGTTTTTTTCCCTGGTTTCTCCACCATGTGGGAGCTAGGGAGAAGAACATTTTTTGCGCTTCCTTTGGGGCACGGGACATCCCATCTCAGCATGACTCTGTCCTGGAGCCGCTGGTTCCCCAAGGCCCTGCGTACATTAGCTCTGTGCCGGCCTGCTGCTGAGGAGAGGCAATGGCGCACGTCCCTGGTGCAGGGGAGGGGAGAGGACGGGATGGGGAGAGAAGCGTGGCACCGAGCAGGATTGGTCGTGCTCTACAGGTTACGTACAAAATAAGGCACAAGTCTGGAATGCTTTAGCAGTACCGCGTTTTGTGTACGTTCGCTTACTGGTTTAAGCTTTTTAAGCATGTCACTGCTTCCAGCCACTTCTGAAATGGTAACATACAGCGCACGTACACTGGGGAGGTCTAAAACCAGGAGAGATGAATACCCCCCAGCAAAGCTCAGCTTCCTTCAAGGAGAGAATTTCTCCACTCCTCTTCATCAGGTTCTAACCTGTAGATGTTCCCGCCTTTGGTTTTCTTCTAAGCAGCGCAGCAGCTTGTGGCAGCTCCTCCGTCGCGGGTGCCAGGCGGCGCCTTAACAACGCTGCGTGCAGACCCACATCCGACAGCAGTCTGCTCCACTAAATCTCTTACTTCTTTAACACTGCTTTCTGCCCAACCTAGTGATGGGTCTAAGTTCAGGGTGTCGTTGAAAGTAGGCTGAACTCACTGCCTGTCAGATCGTGGCCTGTTTGTTAGGTGTCACTTCTGAGGGTATACCATGTCTCGGAGGGATTAATTTGTCACAGACAATTCACCCTTTAGGTGTGGTATTTTCTAGCTCAAAGGCTATGAATAATGACCAAGAAAACACAGAGGCTATTTTTTTGTGGGGAAAGGTTCACCAGGGTAAGCCAAACCTTTTATTTTAATCTGAGAGTCTCTTTTGACTTGTTTTCTGAGACACCAATGTGGACTTTCCCTGGCTTGTAACCTTGCCTTATGTGGCATGTCATAGCTTAGCTAATATCATCCTCATTATAAATTATTTACTCTTTGTCTTCCTAATCTAATCCTTAGATGAGCTTTGAGAACCCATTCTTGCATATTTTTGCATCATTTTTGCAGCTGCCACCTTCATGCTTTTAAACAAATCTCTACCCAGTGTTCTCATCATCTTGCATTAGCATTAGGCAAGTGCCACGGTGGCTTTTTGCAGTTAAATTTGTTTGCTCACATTTGGCTGAAAATTTAGTTTGCTAAATGAGTATTGATATGTTTACATCTTGTCTTGGACTTTGATCTACTCCATTTTTCTCAGAAGAAATGTAAACATCCAACCACCAAATGTCGGATTTGGATTCCACTGCAAACCCTGAACTGACAGTGGATAAAACATCACTGTTATTAGGGAAGGTTTTGCCCTGTCTTTTGGCAGCAGAAATAAGTGTTACCTCTTCATTTCCTATTAGTACATTTCTCACTGTGAAATACAAGCTCAGGCTTCCTCCCCTCTTTCTGAGCATATCAAAGCTCAGTTTTTAATTGAGGCTGATGGTGTATAAATCGTAAAGTCTCTATTTTTACCATTATGCTGTAAGAAAACTGTTCCTATACCCTCCCTGGTAGCCTGCGTAAATAACCTAGTTCTGACCTTACATTTTTGTCATCTTAAGACCAAGACTAAAACTGCTTCCTTGAGTTTCTCAAGAGCAGCTTTCTCTGTGCATTGGATGGGAAGGTACATTAGCATTTGGGAAGTTTGGTGGCTTTTTAAATAATGTCTAGATAATATACAGGCATTTCTATGAAGATTTTGCTTCTGTCTTACTAACTGGGTTTGCTTTGAATTCCTACATGCAATAGTCCTATAGTACACTTTGCTATCTTACCTTTTCAGAGGTGATTTTACTTGAATTTTACATTTATATACCCTTATGTACCCAGCAGCTTTTGTCTTTTTAAAAAGCTAGTCGAAAGCTCTGACTGTGGCATTATTTTTTTTTTTTTACTCCCAAATCAAAACATGGTCTGTGTAGATTTTTACATTTTAGGTTGTCTTTGTAGGCGGTAGTCTTTGCTATCTGTTGTAGCTTTTAACGTAACATATGAACCACTGAACACAAAATGATAACGAAACCCAGATTACTTTATTGTTGAGAGAAAGAAAGGCTTATTTAAGGCTTTACAGTTGACATTACAGATTTTAGTTATGCGTCATTAATAGTTGATAACATTATTTTAATCTTCATTTGCATGCATCGAGACAATAGTACAAGCAAGACTATCATTACACTGCAACATTAGCAGACCATTGTATGACTAAGAACTTAAATTTAAAATGGCTTCAGAAAGCATGTTGAATAGAAGAATGCAGCTGATCTCCAGCTCTGCTTAGAAAAAATACACTTGCAAGAACTGAAGGAAACAATTCGATATATTAAGGGTTGCCTTTATTACTGTTACTTGCTCAGCTGTTTGCCAGCAGTTGGTGAAGGAACAGAATAGTGCTTACTCTTTCCAGCTCACTTTTGTTGAAGTATTATCACATAAATAAATAATACCTCCAAATACATAAGCTTTAAATTATTTTTCTAATAAAAAGCACTCTGAAATTTGAGTATCTCCTACTTCCTGAAATACAGAGATAAAAGAGCAAAGTCTCCTCTTACAGCGCCCCAAATCACTTAAAAAAATCTTTACTGTTCTAGCGTACCACCCAAATTTGAATAATACATTTAAAATTATATATTACTGGTCAGCATTTTCCAGTCTATGCTCATATTGCAGAATATATTATTGTGATTAATGTACGGCTTTTTGTATTCAGCAATAAGTGATAAATGCATCATTTTCTAGGTCTACTGTATAGTGCGAGTATCTATACATCAAAAATTACAAGTGTTGCACAATCTATTAAGCTTAGGCACAGGGCCATCTGGTGTGATCAGACATTTCTTGTGATTAGTATTTGTCATAGTTCATGAACTAAACAGAGGTAAAAGAACCGTTTTTTTTAGAAACAGATTATTTTTAAAAGCCAGAGATACTTTACCATATGCTCCAAAGAATAACTGAGGCACATTTGGCCCAGTTTCAGGGAGTGACAGATTTTTCTGTGGTACCTGAAAACCAATCAAGAGAGACTACAGAAACAGATTAACATACAGAAAACTGTACCTTCTGAATGCTTTATGTTTATTTGTAATGCTTTCAAGTGCATATATTATCAAACATAAACTTACTGGTGTGTCTAGCTAAATTATTTCCTGTAACTAAATTTGTGATGTGTGTGAAATGAGACACATTATGAGTATAATAATCAGATTATGTGTATTTAAATGTTTTCAGCATCTCTTATGTTTTGTTAAAATGATGCTGAGTTCTCGCCGAACATTTGAATTACACTTACTCTAGATGTTTTCGTACATCATCTGTTGTATTCAGGTATATTAAACTATATTTTATTTACTTGTAAACCAGAGAACATTCTTTTTAAATTAGTGTGCTAACTACAAAGCCTAATTGTACTGTACAAAAGATGCATGTTGGAAATTCAAAACTGCTTGAGTCATTAAAATTGCCAAGAACAAATTGAAAAGCATTTTTTCCTTTTGATTAGAATCCATAGTATGTGTTCATTTGTATAAACCATCCATGAAAAGAATTTAATCTTAATTTAATTCTTGTTTACATGTTTTCAGCACAGATTGTAAAAGCTCAGGAATTTATTTGTCCCAAATTGACTGAGTTTAAACCACACCCGGTATTTCCTGACACCGTAGATCTATGCCAAATAGGAAAAAAAAAAAAGTAACATATCTTTCTGAGGATTTTGAAACACTAATATATAATATTTTTAAATACATAATACTTTATTAGCATCTAACATTGTACAGTTGTAACAAACTTGCAGGTTGACTGTTTCTCTGACTGCTGTATTATTTCTTTGGAGTAATATATTTTAAAATACTTTTAAAAAAATATTCTGTGATCACAATCTATTTTTTTTTTCCCAATACAGTATTCAGAAACATTGTCATTCAACTGTAAAGCTTTCATAAAGCACACCTTTGAATGATCTACTATAAAACAACTTTTCTCCACAAAGGCAGAACTATTTTGCATTTTTCCATTTTCACAGTTGTAATTCAAATGGGACTGCTGAAAATCCAGCAAGGGTATCGGCACAGTTTAGAATGGCCTATAGAGAAATATCTTCAGTTGTGAATTTGAATGTATGGTTGCACCAGTCAGGTTTGCCAAAGCTTAAATCATTCCAGATACCCCGACTTTTTTCCTTACTATGAAAATTAGATTGGATATTTAAGATATAAAAGTTTTTACAAGCATCAGACCTGGAGGAGATCTAGAAGTCATTTTCCCACCTGCTTGCTGGTTTCACAGTCATGCATACAATAATACTGTTGCATGCTTCAGTAAACTGGAAAGATTGAACAGCTCCATTTCCATCCTTGCAAATACTGAGGACTGGGCTGGACAGGACCCCAGGAAACCTGATCTAACTTCAGGGTTGTCTCTGCGCTGTGAGGGGCCTCTGACCTGCCTGCACAGTTCCCTCCAGACCCCTTCACAGATCTCATGGCAACGTCATCACTCAGACTGGTAATATTGCTGCTGGTTTGTACTGGAGCTTAACCAAATTCCCTAGGCAGGACAGTAATACTGCTACGACTAGATTAATCCAATTAATCTGTTTTTTTACTGAGCTTTTTTATGGCCCACTGATGAAAAGCAGACTTTGCGTTGTGCCCCATGGACTTCTCTTGGCATTCATTCTAAGGAATACTTTGCCTTTTTTTGATGTTTGCGTGCTATAGGTAGCCTATAGGCTTTCCCTTTCAGGTGTTACTTTTTCTCAAGTTTTGCATGTCCTCTGGCCTTTCCTAAATACTTAGTAATCCTCTGCTTCCACTCTTATTCCAGTACCTTAATCCTTCTGAGTGTAAAAAAAGCCATCTCCTCTCAGCTTAATCCTTGCACATAAAATTGACTTCTGTTTGTGGTCCATGGCTTGGTCAGTCAGAGAGCAGGACTCATGCCACCTAGCTTTAGATGTCTCCAATGCAGGTCTGTATTAGTGTTAGCCTCAGACCTATTAGAGCAAAAAATAGGCACCTCTTAATTATGAGACCTCCCTGTAGAGCTTCCCTCTACATTTGAAACTTTTATCTTGTACTGCGAGCTCAGATAATCTCGTGCAGTACAAGTATCTGTGCTGCCACTCAGGATTCCTGTACAATCAGCAGAAAGAAATGGGAACTTCTGGGGTATGACTCATATGATCCATTTTTAAATGCACTGGGAATAGTAGACACGCGCTGCTTCCTAAAAGTGCCCACTTTCTTCTACTGACAGCAAAGCAGCCTGTGATACCGATGTCACGTGTGGGTAACTGCATCGGTGGGGACATTTGGTCAGATGAATTACACCTTGTTTTCATTTCTTCTCACCATGCTCCTGGAAAAGCCAATTACAACATTTCTCACGAAGCTCCAAAAGATTCTGATCAAGGAAAGTGGAGCAGAAGGCGCTTGACAGCAAGAGCCAGACTTATTTTCAGTTTCCGACTAGTCACTGGAGAGGAACAACACTTACAGGGAACAAATCATCCCATCCTAAAGTAGACATCCAAAATCAGTCAGATGAATTGTGCCCTAGAAATGCCTGTCTCCTGCATTGTCTATAAAAGAGTGCTTTAGACCAGGTAGGTCAGAAATGGACATGAACATCTCTGTGAGATTAATTCTGTCCAGTCTATAAAGTGTTGGGACAATGACTGTCTCACCAGGCTCATTAACATCTTCCTAGGTCATGTGTAAGCCAGTCTGTGCTGTTTCATGTGTAGTAGTTGTGCACTGACTGAAAACTAACTTAAGGACTGTGAGCTAAGGCAAATACTGAAGCGTAGCATATGGAAATTCTTCATCCTACAGGCTATCAAACAATTTGGTTTTCATTCATACTGATGCTGACGATCATAGAGGAGTGCTGAGATATGAACCAAACTTGCAGATGATGCTGAATCAGGCAGTGATGTGAAAAGTACATGGACAGAAGAACTAAGTATTCTGGGGGCAATATAAGAAAAGGAAGTAAACTTGGAAACTACAGGTTAATCCGTATGGGAGGAAATGCAAAAAGATTCAGCCACAGAAGAGAAACCTAGGAAGCAATAAGACAGAAAGAGATGTGTAAAGATAACTAATGGGAAGTGAGGTAGGACTTTGCAGAACAGACTGGCAAGCAAAATAGGTCAACAGAAGGAAGGGCAAGTCAGCAAGCAGTCAGGTGCATACCCCTTCTGTATCTTTGTGATTGCATTCAAAACAAAAAAGTGCAAACGTAATGTAAAAAATATTTTGGGGATCATGTGAGTGCCAAAAAGCTACTAGTAATTTCAAAAAAAAATGTAAGATCACTGAAGATAACTGGGGTAGAAAAGGGAAGATGGGGAAACTGAGTTGTGAGGTAGTAATTCAGTAACTCACTGCAATGTTGTTAACACAAAGAGAGAAACTGAGTCAAAGTGGTACTAGAAAACATGGGCTGGAATGTGATACCCATAGCCTCCCACCCCTCTGTTGACACGGACTGGTATAAATGTCCTCAGGGTTTAAACTGCTGCTGTTCTTCTAAAGATTTTAAAGACCGATGATTCGTGGTTTTTGTGAACTTAGATTTCTGTAATGCAGTAATGGCTCTACAACCCTAGGACTGTCCCCTGTGGAGGGGGGGTTCACATCCTCTAAGACATGGGACAGAACTGAACTCGTTTATTCCCTATTTCAGTGAGGGCTCTAGTCATACAAATAGAACAGCTTCTTTTTTTTTTAAACTTTCTTCCCTTCCATCTTTAATATAGTGCTATCCCACCTCCAGTTTTTAAATGAAACAGCAGGAGCAGATTGTTCCAAGGGAGAATTTGGGGGCTGTGACAGCTAAGTGGAGGGACTTACCTCCTTGGGTTCACATAGATTGTGTAATACTGCACGCCCTGGGATCTCACCCACGGTGGTTGGGACGGGAGTGCTGGCTGTCCTGCACTGTTGGGCTCTCTGGCTCAGGGTCTGTGGTGTTAGAGGTGCTAAAGGAGAAAAAGTCTGGCCCTGACCACCATTTTTCACCAGAGTAGGTTTTGGGCATTTGAAATATGCACTAGGTCTGGAAATCTCAGGAGTGCTTCCATTTCCACCAGGACAGACAAGCCTCGGTAGCCCAGGGACACCTCTGTATGCAGTAGTCTCTACTCATTGTCTTAGCTCATCTTTCAGTTTGTTGACCCTGGACTTCAACACGAAGATGTGCTGTAAATTAGCTGTTGCCACTCAGAAGCTAGCCTGTTGAGTCACTGTCTTCCCTCGCTCCAAACATTGTTGTCCAGCATGAGCAAAAACTTGAGTGGACTGTCAGAAATTAAGATTATTTTTGAGCAACTTAATGTGAAATCCCAAGACATGGACTGGATGGGACAAGGCAGGAAAGGCAAAGAGCTCAACTAGATAGCCCAGCGTGCCTTAGAGATTGATTCTGGAGAACACTGATCCACAGATCACTAAGAACTAAAATTCTGCCACTTCTAAGTGCTCCATTAATTCATTTACAGGAAAGTCAATGATATTGCTTAAAATTTTGTCATTATTGAACCATACCTGGAATGATGTGGCCATCTTTACTGTTATTATGGAAATTATAACAGAGTCCCAATTTTTGTTCTTGACAGTTTTCCTATCCCACAGATGTCAGCTTGCTTTATTAACGAAACACGCTGGTTAAGGCTTGTGCTTTCCATCAGAGCCAATTTTCCTAAGACACTGGTGGCGCAGCCTTTGAAACTGGCTCTGGGTGCAGGAGAGAAGTCATTTTACTGGTTGTTTCTGGACATGGTTTGTTATCGCACACGTTTCCACCGTCCATCCTCTGATTCAGCCGGATAACGCTCACCTTGGAGTGGCAGGTGGGCTCTCCATCAGTCGAGGAAGGAGGTTGGCAGTGGAAAAGCTGACGAAAGCATTTGTAAAACTGAAACGACAAACAATTCTAGACATAGTTGCTAGGCAGGCTGCAATTCAGAGCATCTTTCTTAACAGCCTGGAGACAATGAAACACATTTTTTAAGCTCGTACCTTCAGCTCAAATAGGGGTTAAGTATTTTTTTTGCTGTGAATCCATGCTTCCTGCTGCTTAAGACTAAAGTTCACTTAAATTTGTGGACTTTTCCTTTGAAATTGATATGCTTAGCTTTTCTAAGACCATAGACTCTGTGGAGTGTAAAGCTGTAGAACAATCTAAAACATTTTCAGAACCTTTCATTTATGATAAAAGAAGATTTAATCACAGAAGTAATTGGTTTTCAGTTACTTCACACATCGGGCAGGGAAAAAATCATTTTGATAATCTAATGATACACAGCAGGGAGAACATAAGGTTCTTTTCATTAGCAAGCCATTGAAATCTCCATGTTCCCAAACTGCAAACTAAACTGCAGAAAATGGCTTCGCTTAATTAATGAACAAAAATAATTTTTATGTTAATTCATCTCACTTGTGAGAACTACCCAAAACACCTTTGATATTTTATGATTCCAAAGCTGTCGTACAGAAAAAAACAATTACATCAGTTCTCATTTATAAGTACAAAGTGAGCAGCTTTATACAGCTGTCTCCTCTGAGAGCTGACAGTCACATTCAACGGATAGGGATGCCAGTAGTGCAACAAGTGCTTCGATACATTTTCTATCTATTTTTATTTTTCAAGTGAAATCTTTTTTTAAAAAAATGGTGTCCAAGGCTTACTTTGTAATTTTTCTTTCACATGGCTATGTGAAACAGAAGAGGCTCCCAGAAGCTGTGACTGATATGAAAGTATTGCAGTTTAGCCAGTACTGTTGATCAGTATCTGATATTAGTCCCTTTGAAAATGTGCAGCCGCAACAGTAAGATTTCTCTCATTTCAAAGCTAAAAAGACCTTCTGTTAGAATGGATTTACAATTGTGCTGTAGGAAAACAAAGTTTGCCTAAGCCCACCTATCTTCCTCCTGAATTTGTCCTCGTCTAGTTTTGATCTTGAGCATGGGATAAGGAGAGTAACAGCATCTTCGGACTGCACCTGAGGTCAAAGTGAACCTTTCCCTGGCTTTAAACAGGAAATTTAATTTTTGCATGGCCTTTCTTAGCTGCTGTTGACAGTGTTGATGACAGTTTGCTATTGACATGTGGCAGGAAAAAATGGGTTGGCATTTTGTGGATTCCTCCTCGCTGAGCAGGAGGTGGTCAGGGGCTTTTCCTCATGACAGCACCGCTCTAAGAAGGGATTCACCTTCCTCAGCCTCTCTCCTTGAGACTCTTCACAGAATTGTCAGAAGCCATGGGCTTTTGTGCCACTACTACATGGTTGGCCCTTCTGCATGTATTTAGGCTGCCGTCTTCTTGCCTAGAGAGAAGCAAGTCAATGGAAAAAGTGGAATTTGTTCAGTCCCAGATTAAGAAAGACCAACACTGTAATAAGGTGGAGATGTTTCAAAGAGTACATTGATACCCTATTATGGCCAACAATCCGAATGAACCATCCAAAAGTTGTCAAGGGAAGAAACATGGGTGATACTGGCCCATCTTTCTATTCTAATTTCCCCTTGCTATGGTGCATGAAAAAGGAAAGGGAAGTCAGTCTGATTCTTCGTGGCTTTGAAGATTAGTATGTATGTGAATATTTGCAAGGCACAGATATCCAAAAGCACAGAGGAGGATAAGTTGGGCATACCTGGAATTTTTATACCTACTGTACATGACAGGTCAGAGTTTAGCTGTGGAAGTGGCAAAGTACCAATAAGAGCTCCTTAAAAACACCAAGCAACTGCTCTGTGTGTATGTGTGTGCTCTGTATTCTGCAAATGAATGTGAAGACCTGATCTGTCTTGCCAAATAGCTTCAAGAACTGACAATATACAAGAAAATCAAGAAAAATGATCAGTGCACTTGAAAAAATTAGCATGCAGCTGCATGAGGTCCCTGATTCTCGTGTGGGATGTTTTGTGGACAGGACAGGGTAAATGGGTGGGGGTAGAAAGAGCAGTCTTCTCCCTGAAGCAGGCTGATGGTGGTGTGCAAGCCCTTTATAGGCTTTTTACTCTTGTCCGACTGCATCAAGTCTACAGAGATCGCAATCTTTGTGTATCAGGGAGAAGTGAAAGCTGCTCTAATAAAAGGAGCTATTACTTCACTTAATGATTTTACAGGAGTAACACTTGAGGTGTGCAACAGCAAAGGAAAGCAGGAAAAAAAAACAAAAACAAAAACAAACAAACAAACAAACAAACAAAAAAAAACCCAAAAACAAAAAAACAAACAAACAAAAAAAAAACCCAAACAGCAGATTGGATGCCTGCCAGGAAATTTCTGTGAGAAAGGTGAAATCTGGGGTTCACTTTTCTTCTCCCTTTCTGCTCCAGGTATCCTCATCATGATGTCCATGTGTAATGAAGTGCATGTGTATGAATACATCCCTTCAGTCCGACAGACCGACCTGTGTCACTACCATGAACTCTACTACGATGCAGCTTGTACCTTGGGGGCCTACCACCCACTGCTCTACGAGAAGCTGTTGGTGCAGAGGATGAACAAAGGTTTGCAGGATGATCTGTACCGGAAAGGGAAGGTCATTTTGCCAGGGTTCAAAGCTGTCAAGTGCCCCGAACGAAATAATTTCCCACACTTGTAGAAGAGAGTCCTTCAGAAACAATGTGCAATAAGGTACTACTGTCGTACTATAAACAAGAAGGGAATACTTGAAAAATGTTTCTTAGACCGATCTAGTCTTGAGTCTATAAATTGTAATTAAGTAGCAGGCATGAGGAATACTTCTTTTCTGAGCCTGAGTATTTATTACTGCTTTGCAAATAGTTAAAAAAAAAGGCTTAGCTCATGAAAGATGCAAAGGATATACTTAGGCAGAAATATAATGTATTGTTGTGGGTGTGACTGTCAGAATTTGTCAGTGGTCTCCTATGCCACATATGCTAGACTGTATTTTTTTTTTTTTAAATGAACTTCTTTAACTGTTAAACCTGGCATTGTGAAACAGCCTCTATTGTTCATGTACAGAGCGGCCAGTTGAACAATGCAGTGTTTCTCATGGCACCACGGGATTTTCACACTCTCCAGGAATGAAGTAATCACTACTCCGAACTATGAAGTCACTGACTAGAGCATACTTTAATTCCCATTCACATGCAGGCTCAGTTGCAGACCTCCAAGTGTATAGGGGGCATTATGATGGATATGAAGTCAGTGCAGAGGGAGATGGCTCTACATACAGCTAAACCAGTTAAAATACTGGACGTACTTTTGGTGCCAGACCCCCATGCTCACACTGACTGCATAGGGCAGAGGGAAGAGAGAAATGTCTCATTTCTTTAGAGAGCGACAAATATGTTTGTAACCCATTCAGGGAAAAACTCTCCTTGGGAGGCCTATCAAGAGTGTGTGAGTGAGATGGGAAAGATGCCTTCCCCTGGTCTGCACAGATAAAGAAGATCAAGAGAAAGCCAAGAGAGGCTGTGCAGCACATCACCCTGAAAGCGAGCGTAGAGCGAGCTCACCTTTCTGCAGCAAAGATAGTATTCAGGATTACAGACTTCATTTGTTAGGTATTTCATTGGGATCTGAATTGGACTCACTTGTTCACAAGTTACTGCTGTTAAGAAAGTATAGAGAGCTTTCTCAGAAGAGAAGAGGATATCAGCGTATTTCATTTAACATTTGAAAGACCCCAGAGAAGCTGTAATGCCTGCAAAAACCTGACTACGGATTGCATATGGAGATAATTTGATATTTTCCTTCATAACACACAATGAGAATATTCTCTAAGGCACTTCTAAAAATTCTGCCTGGTTGCTAATGTATTTATAGCATTATTTTTCAGGGCAAGATTTGAGTTTCAGATTTTCCAAGTGGCCGGAGATTAATGTTTTGGGTTTGTTTTTTTTTTTTTTCACACAACTGTACCCTTTCTTGTAGGGCAAATTCAGCAGGAACACATGCACACAAAAGCACAGCTATATCCTACTCATGTCCATTCAGTAAAAGGGCAGACAGCTCAAAGAGGCACTGAAAAGAATAGCTGAGTGACAGTGGTGAAAAGTATTTTTTGTGTTTTGTCTTAAGCAACAGAAAGGCAATTGAAGAGTGCACACAATATTAATGACTATTTCCTCTATAGTAGTAATGTAAGTATAATCACAGAATCCTTTTTCTCTCACTCTGCTCTTTGATTCTGATGATTTTCCTTCCTCAAAAGTGAAGAATCTGTGTCTTACATAGGACTTCTTTTCCCATGTAGTCTCTTAATTTGGGTTTATTAATTCTTGTATGATTCCTTTTGTTGACAGAAAATATGTCCAGATGATCTAAAAACTGTAATTCTGTATTGTGTGGATAGTTATGTCCATAAATCGTTTTGGTACATGTTAAATTGATAAGTTTTACTCATATTAGACTTAGACTCTGGATATATTACATACCGATTTCTTTTTAATGTTATGTATGGCGGCAACTTTTATTCTTTAAATTAATAACACTGTTATTTAATCTTGTGGAGAACAGATAATCTATACAGAACTAATCTATTTTTCCATATGTTTGGAAAAAACATATGACGTTTGAACAGTGCAATCAAACATGTCTCTCTTTGCTGTACGCTGGGTTAGCTGCCGCATGTTTGTAAAGGAAGGGAGTTGATCAGCTTTCTAGGAGTAGTGAACATGCTACTTTTTAAACTGGCAATTCTCAAGTTCTGAAAAGAAAAAAAAAAAGAAGAGCATATCACTTTGATCTGCAACCACTAACCTTTGATTTTCACAAAGAAGAACGATGCTAACTGCATTACTCAACTACCCACACCAGGATTATGTTGTATTATTCCCTCAGTAATTTGTCAGAATAACCAACATAGCTGTTGTACAGAAGTTTCATGTAACAAGTGCTGAGCATACCTACTTAATACATCATTTAAATAACAATGCAGAACCAGGTCTCGGTTGTTACAAAATGAACTGTGTATTTTTAATTTACCGGACTGTGTGCATTTAAGCCCTCCCAGCAGAAAATTTTTCTTTGCTGTATCCTGATTTATACAGCAGTCAGTGCTCCCTCCACAAGTGCATATGGGGTGCTGTAGCACCGTCACCTCAGAAGACGCTGCAGCGCTGTGCTGCAAACGCTTGCTCACAGAGGAGGAAGACCCAGCTTGTGATGCCCACCTTGAAAAAAATAAGCATCCCTGGCGTGGCTTCCCAACACTGGTTTCCACTGTGATTTCACTGGTCTGCCTGCTTAAACACCTTGTGGCTGCTTAAACAGATTTTGCTCCCCTACCTTGTCTTGTCCTCTGTTTTTTGGCACAAGGGCAACTGTGCCTGATCTGCTCAATGAGGGTTCACCTCCCCTTGCCGCAAGAGGGGAAGGGGCAAAAATAAAGGGGAGACACAAAGGACCTGCAGAGGTGTTCCCCTCACCACTGCTTACACTCTGTGGCACTGGTTGCTGGCCTTTTCTAAGAGCTCACCAAGTTTTTTTGTATTAATGGGCATTTCCCCATCCCTCGTGAGTGCAGAGAGTGTGTAGTAACACTGAACTGTGTATCTTTTAATAATACTAACCCGCGAGTGTGCTGGTTTTAGATACATACGTTAAATGCAGACAGTGTAAAAGGAAATGCATTTTCCCACCCAGACCATGGGGTTTTTTGGGAAGAAGATACAGGCATGGTTTCATAGCTGTCTTGTGTGGCTGTCACAAGCTAGCGTAGTGGAATGACAGTGTAGACAAGAGAGGTTTGCCCAGACCTGGCTCTTGAGGTGCATCATCACCCAAGCAAATGCCTCTGCTATGGACCCCTGAGCTCCCTTCACACTTGTTGCAACAATGCAAGTTTTAAATTTACAGAGTTTTACTGACAAGTAGGAGTAAGTTGCCTTCAGAAGCTGTCGAGCCTGATTTCTGTGCCCTGGTGCTGTTGCCAAGAGTTGCACTCAGCTGAAACAAACCAGAAACACAGCAGCAGCTTAAGGAAATGTGCTGAGTTTATGCTGAATTTCATTCTGCTCTTTTTTCCACTGTGAATTCTGTGGCTTTTTTGCCTTGTGGTGCTCAATCATTTTATGCATTCAGCCTTTGGATGGTTAAATCAAGGTATTCTTCTCTTTATTCATGAAAAAAACATGAAAGATTTTGCCTCATTTTGAGCAAAGATTTTTTGTTAGAAAAAAAACATTAATTGTTCCATTCCTTTATAGTTTTAAAGGTTACCTGAGCATAAACTCACAGCTCAGTCAGTCATTCCTTGGATTAAACTACACCATCTTGGTTTTTTACCTTGCTGTGCAGTTTTATGCTGTTAAAACTCTAGTAAAGTCAGTGAAATTACCATGATACAAGAAATACACACCTTTGGAGAGAGAGAAGAGTAATTTACACACTAATCTACACTCTGCCTGTACAAATTTAGCTAAATCATTGCATGGCTTTGGTCAGGACACGTTCTTTGGTGAAAAAATCCAAATTCTGAACTTGTTGCTGTAGATCTCTTGCCAAAGTCAAGAAAACCAAGACAGCTTTTTTCTTAAATGAAGACAAGTGTCTACACTCAATGGCTGCATAGACTGAACAGTCATTTTAGAGAGAGATTGAATTACACAGGAGTTCAAAACACATGTAGACCAATCCAATCCATAGTGGGGCTTTTCTTTTTCATTTTCTTTTTCTTCAGCAGTTTTTAAGGATGGAAAATGCCATTTAGACAGTGATGCAGAAGTACCATGGAAGGAATATTAAATGCATTGACTGCAAAAATAAATGGCTACTATTTTTCCCTTTATGCTCTCTAAAGTTGATGCGTATTGTATAAATGAAATTGGTTTTTGAAGTAGGTAGTTCAGAAGACTCTCATTAGCAAGCATTTGAATCTTTCCCAGGAACTATCCTCGCACACACAAGGAGGATACCTGATTTAACTGTTTGAAATTTAAAGTAGCCCGTGTCTGGGCATAACTGCATCATTGAATGAATTTTGACACTGCAAATTTCTTCTCTCTGACTTAGTGATCAGATTCAGAGTTTTGTTCTTGAAATAAGATTTGTGTGTAAAAGCCTTACATTTATTCATAACGTCTCATCACTCTTATAGTATGTAGTCATTGAACTATTCAAATATAGACTGTGTACTTTTTTAATAGCTTTGAGAATTATTTTGTATGATGATTTTTTTAAATGAATGTGTACTCTAATAACAAAGCTTAAGATTTTACAGGAGTCACATTTTTAAGCGGTGTTTGTATACATTTTAACACTTTTTATATTTTCTATTATGATTTTGTATATTTTTATGTATGCACAGTGTACAGATTTTTTCCTGTAAATAAAACGTTTGCTTTCATTGGTTTAGGAGTGCTGGTCTTTTCATACGGCCTTGAGTGAGTGACACTGAACTGCAGAGGGAACAAAACAGGGAAGGTGCCTGTTGGTTCTGCCCACAATTGCAATGAAACGTCAGATGGAAACGGGCAGATAGGCTGACAAGTACCTTTCACAGTAAACTACAGAGAAGAGGCAAATATTGTAAAGCCAGTTTAATGCTAAAATGAGTATGTCTACCTGAGCAGGCGCCCTAGGGTTCCCCTGAGAGAATATGCCATACTCCTCTATGTTTGGCAGTAAATTTCTTGGGCTAGTCAAGCCCTCTAAGGAGGTGATGCTCTGGTGACTTGATGCTGTACTTGAAAGGCTGGTGAACTTCAGCTAAATGGCTGTGACACCCGTTCAAGGAAAGCAGCTTCGTGTTTTAAAGAATAAGAACAGACCTTTTTATCAATTATTAATTAAAATGAAGAACAACTTACCAAAGGGAAAACATAACTTGCCATTCAGTCTGTGATGCAATACCATGTCATTTAACCACCACAAGTTTGCTTACATCCAATAAATGTTAGCCATTCTGCTGGTTTTGGTAGTCTTTGAACAATGCAATGGCTGGGCCAATGGAGGTGACAGTCACTGTTTTCATCCCAGGGAGTCACTGCAAATCCATGCTGACAATAAAGCTAGTTACACATTAGTGGAATGATAAAAGTTGGATTGCCATTGCGTAAATTCCTGGCAGCCAGTAATCAGGCAGCTCATCCTGTGTATTACACCACCTCCTGTCAGGTGGAGTTGAGGGACTAATGACTATATGTCACAATATGCAACACCTCTCCAAAAAACTCAGAACAATGAGCTACCCTAGGGGCTAAACTGAATGCTGGGATGCATGAATGAAGCAACTAACTGATGCTTTTCAAATCCATCAACTTTGCTTTTATTGTGGGGGGTATTTTCACTTAAAAAAAAAAACCAAACCAAACCAAAACAAAAAAACAACAACAAAACATGATCACTGTATTCCATCAGATAAAATGCCTAACTTCATTGTCTATGACATGAGAGAGGACATTCTTGTCTCACTGCATACAAATCAGTATCACAGTAGGAAGTTGAAACCCATGAAGCGTATTGTGTGGGGTACAGAGAACATCTTGCTGTACTCCCTATTCTTTAGCAGTGACAGCTATAGGAGTTGTGGCATGACCTTTCTGATAGTATCTCAGGGAACCTTGGAGGCAACTCATTTTCAGGTTTATTCCCAAAACTGGACTGCGCTTTTCTGAACAACATGCCTTTGAAGGAGGTATCTTTTATCTTTCTATTCACAGAAGTCAGCTGTGTTTCACTTGAGCAGCTCTGAGGGGCGTAGTTCTCTGGACAGGCAGGTTGAACTTCAAACAGGCATTTTGGTCTGTTTATCTGCGTTATTAGCTCTACTGTTGTAATCATGGCTCAGGATGATTGCTCCAACTTGCTGTCTTGACTGCAGCACGAACCGACTGAAGTGATTCTGCCCCCTACTCCGTTCTGGTGAGACTCCACCTGGAGTACTGTGTCCATCTCTAGAGTCCTCAGAACAAGAAAGATGTGAAACTGTTGGAGCGGGTCCAGAGGAGGGCGGCAAAAATGATCAGAGGGATGGAACACCTCTCCTATGAGGACAAGCTGAGAGACTTGGGGTTGTTCATCCTGGAGAACAGAAGGCTCCGGGGAGACCTTACAGCAGCCTTCCAATACTTAGAGGGGCCTTATGAGAAAGATGGGGACAAAGTTTTTAGTAGTGCCTGTTGCGATAGGACAAGGGGTAATGGCTTGAAACTAAAAGATGGTAGTTTTAGACTAGATATAAGGAAGAAATTTCTTACAATGAGGGTGGTGAAACACCAGAACAGGTTGCCCAGAGAAGAGGCAGATGCCCCATCCCTGGAAACGTTCAAGGTCAGGTTGGACGGGGCGCTGAGCAACCTGATCTAGTTGAAGATGTCCCTGCTCATTGCAGGGGGAGTTGGACTAGATGACCTTTAAAGGTCCCTTCCGACCCAAACTATCCAATGATTCTGTGATAAGAACAGCGAGACACGTGAGGGAGGAGCCAGCCTTGTGCAATAATCACACCCGCCATCTTCTACAGGAAACTGCACCTGCAGCAATGATTAAGTAGTGGTTTACTTACTGTGGGTCTGCTTCATCAATCAGTATGAACAGTCCACTAACACTTGTGGTTTTGGTTGGGCTTCTAGATCTCCTAGCATCTTCAGCTTTCCAGGGTGACGTGGATAATTTGACTGCATCATCAGATTAGCATAGATTTATCTGCTATACCGCAAAACCTACCAATGTCCACTCCATACTTACATATTTTTAATATTTAGATTCTACT